TGTATTCAACTCACATGTATAGAGAAAATGGTGCATTGGCCAGGTCGATCAGTATCGGAACTTAAAATGCAAATGCCAGGGAGAACGGACGCGCTCATATCTCGCATAGTACACGGAATCTAGCGGTCTCACTCAAATAGAAGGTAAGAAATAAATTCATCTAGTGAACGTAAGGGTTTGAAAGGTAACTAACGCACATGTGTAGAGAAAATGGTGCATCGGCCAGTCTGACCGGCATTTCGCACTTATAGTGCAAGTAGGGCCAAGGAGAACGGAAACGCTCATTTCTCAAAAAGTAATGGGAATCTAGCGGTCTCACTCGATCAGAAGGTGGGAAATATATAAATCTAGTGAGCAAATAAGGTTCAAAAGGAATCTAATGCATATGTATATGAAAAATGGTGCATTGGCCAGGTCGGTCAGTATGGGAACTTAGAGTGCAAATACGTGGGAGAACGGAACCGCTCAAATCTCCCACAATACACGGAATCTAGTGGTCTCACTCAAATATAAGGTAGGAAATAAATTCATCTAGTGAACGTAAGGGTTTGAAAGGTAACTAACGCACATGTGTAGAGAAAATGGTGCATCGGCCAGTCTGGCTGGCATTTCGCACTTATAGTGCAAGTAGGGCCAAGGAGAACCGAAACGCTCATTTCTCAAAAAGTAGAGGGAATCTAGTAGTCTCACTCGATCAGAAGGTGAGAAATATATAAATCTAGTGAGCTAATAAGGTTCGAAACGAATCTAATGCATATGTATATGGAAAATGGTGCATTGGCCAGGTCGGTCAGTATGGGAACTTGGAGTGCAAATGCCTCGGAGAACGGAACCGCTCAGATCTCGCATACTACACGGAATCTAGTGGTCTCACTCAAATATAAGGTAGGAAAATTATTCATCCAGTGAACGTAAGGGTTTGAAAGGTAACTTACGTACATGTGTAGAGAAAATGGTGCATCGACCAGTCTGGCCGGCATTTCGCACTCATAGTGCAGGTGGGGCCAGGGAGAACGGAAACGCTCGTTTCTCAAAAAGTAGAGGGAATCTAACGGTCTCACTCGATCAGAAGGTGGGAAATATATAAATCTAGTCAGCTAAAAAGGTTTGAAATGTATTCAACGCACATGTATAGAGAAAATGGTGCATTGGCCAGGTCGGTCAGTATCGGAACTTAAAATGCAGATGCCAGGGAGAACGGAAGCGCTCAGATCTCGCATAGTACACGGAATCAAGGGGTCTCACTCAAATAGAAAGTAGGAATTATATTCATCTAGTGAACGTAAGGGTTTGAAAGGTAACTAACGCACATGTGTAGAGAAAATTGTGCATCGGCCAGTCTGGCCGGCATTTCGCACTTATAGTGCAAGTAGGGCCAAGGAGAACGGAAACGCTCATTTCTCAAAAAGTAGAGGGAATCTAGCGGTCTCACTCAATCAGAAGGTGGGAAATATATTTATCTAGTGAGCTAATAAGGTTCGAAAGGAATCTAATCCATATGTATATGGAAAATGGTGCATAGGCCAGGTCAGTCAGTATGGGAACTTAGAGTGCAAATGCCAGGGAGAACGGAAGCGCTCAGATCTCGCATAGTACACGAAATCTACTGGTCTCACTCAAATAGAAGGTAGGAAATAAATTCATCTAGTGAACGTAAGGGTTTGAAAGGTAACTAACGCACATGTGTAGAGAAAATGGTGCACTGGCCAGTCTAGCCGGCATTTCGCACTTGTAGTGCAAGTAGGGCCAAGGAGAACGGAAACGCTCATTTCTCGAAAAGAAGAGGGAATCTAGCGGCCTCACTCGATCAGAAGGTGGGAAATATATAAATCTAGTGAGCTAATAAGGTTCGAAAGGAATCTAATGCATATGTATATGGAAAATGGTGCATTGGCCAGGTCGGTCAGTATGGGAACTTAGAGTGCAAATGCCAGGGAGAACGGAAGCGCTCAGATCTCGCATAGTACACGGAATCTAGTGGTCTCACTCAAATATAAGGTAGGAAATAAATTCTTCTAGTGAACGTAAAGGTTTGAAAGGTAACTAATGCACATGTGTAGAGAAAATGGTGCATCGGCCAGTGTGGCCGGCATTTCGCACTTATAGTGCAAGTAGGGCCAAGGAGAACAGAAACGCTCATTTCTCAAAAAGTAAAGGGAATCTAGCGGTCTCACTCAATCAGAAGGTGGGAAATATATAAATCTAGTGAGCTAATAAGGTTCCGAAGGAATCTAATGCATATGTATATCGAAAGTGGTGCATTCGCCAGGTCGGTCAGTATGGGAACTTAGAGTGCAAATGCCTGGGAGAACGGAACCGCTCAGATCTCGCATAATACACGGAATCTAGTGGTCTCACTCAAATATAAGATAGGAAATATATTCATCTAGTGAACGTAAGGGTTTGAAAGGTAACTAACGCACATGTGAAGAGAAAATGGTGCATCGGCCAGTCTGGCCGGCATTTCGCACTCATAGTGCAGGTGGGGCCAGGGAGAACGGAAACGCTCGTTTCTCAAAAAGTGGAGGGAATCTAACAATCTCACTCGATCAGAAGGTGGAAAATATATAAATCTAGTCAGCTAAAAAGGTTTGAAATGTATTCAACGCACATGTATAGAGAAAATGGTGCATTGGCCAGGTCGGTCAGTATCGGAACTTAAAATGCAAATGCCAGGGAGAACGGAAGCGCTCAGATCTCGCATAGTACACGGAATCAAGTGGTCTCACTCAAATAGAAAGTAGGAAATAAATTCATCTAGTATACGTAAGGGTTTGAAAGGTAACTAACGCACATGTGTAGAGAAAATTGTGCATCGGCCAGTCTGGCCGGCATTTCGCACTTATAGTGCAACTAGGGCCAAGGAGAACGGAAACGCTCATTTCTCGAAAAGTAGAGGGAATCTAGCGGTCTCACTTGATCAGAAGGTGGGAAATATATAAATCTAGTAAGCTAATAAGGTTCGAAAGGAATCTAATGCATATGTATATGGAAAATGGTGCATTGGCCAGGTCGGTCAGTATGGGAACTTAGAGTGCAAATGCCAGGGAGAACGGAAGCGCTCAGATCTCGCATAGTACACGGAATCTAGTGGTCTCACTCAAATAGAAGGTAGGAAATAAATTCATCTAGTGAACGTAAGGGTTTGAAAGGTAACTAACGCACACGTGTAGAGAAAATGGTGCATCGGCCAGTCTGGCCGGCATTTCGCACTTTTAGTGCAACTAGGGCCAAGGAGAACGGAAACGCTCATTTCTCAAAAAGTAAAGGGAATCTAGCGGTCTCACTCGATCAGAAGGTGGGAAATATATAAATCTAGTGAGCTAATAATGTTCAGAAGGAATCTAATGCATATGTATATGGAAAGTGGTGCATTGGCCAGGTCGGTCAGTATGGGAACTTAGAGTGCAAATGCCTCGGAGAACGGAAGCGCTCAGATCTCGCATAGTACACGGAATCTAGTGGTCTCACTCAAATAGAAGGTAGGAAATAAATTCATCTAGTGAACGTAAGGGTTTGAAAGGTAACTAACGCACATGTGTAGAGAAAATTGCGCATCGGCCAGTCTGGCCGGCATTTCGCACTTATAGTGCAAGTAGGGCCAAGGAGAACGGAAACGCTCATTTCTCGAAAAGTAGAGGGAATCTAGCGGTCTCACTCGATCAGAAGGTGGGAAATATATAAATCTGGTGAGCTAATAAGGTTCGAAAGGAATCTAATGCATATGTATATGGAAAATGGTGCATTGGCCAGGTCGGTCAGTATGGGAACGTAGAGTGCAAATGCCAGGGAGAACGGAAGCGCTCAGATCTCGCATAGTACACGGAATCTAGTGGTCTCACTCAAATAGAAGGTAGGAAATAAATTCATCTAGTGGACGTAAGGGTTTGAAAGGTAACTAACGTGTCAGAACATTATAGCTGATACATGTTTGTAGGCTGTAGTGGGGTAGCACATATGGGGTACAGATTCCTAGGGTTTGTTATTTGTACCAATTTCTGACTTAGTCATTTCATTCCTCTTCTCATTGTTTCACATGGTATAGAGCTAGGTCCCTCCAGGACCGATTTTTTTTTTTTGGGCCCACCGAAGCGCGCCCCGAGGCGCGGTTTTTTTTTAGCGACCCCTCGAGTCGCCCTCTCCCCTGCGGCCTCCCCGCCCACTCTGTCGCGGCCCCGCCCTGACCCTTACGCGGCCCCGCCGCCTGCTCCTTACGCGGCCCCGCGTCGGCCCCCTTACGCGGCCCTTACGCGGCCCCGCGCCGGCTCCTCAGCGGCCTCGCGCTGGCTCCTACGCGGCCCCGTCCCCGGCTCCTACGCGGCCCTGTCCGCCGGCCCCTTACGCGGCCCCGCCGCCGGCCCCTTACGCGGCCCCGCGCCGGCCCCTTACGCGGCCCCTTACGCGGCCCCGCGCCGGCCCCTTACGCGGCCCAGCCGCCGGCCCCTTACGCGGCCCCGCGCCGGCCCCTTACGCGGCCCCGCGCCGGCCTCCTACGCGGCCCCGCCGCCGGCTCCTACTCGGCCCCGCGCCGGCTCTCACGCGGCCCCGTCCCGGCTCCTTCACGGCCCTGCCGCCGGCTCCAACGCGGCCCTGCCCCGGCTCCTAAGCCGGCCCTACCGCCGACCCTGCCGCCGGCTCCTACGCGGCCCTACCGCCGGCCCCTTCGCGGCCCCGCCCCGGTTATCTTACGCGACCCCGCCGCTTCACCTGCAGCTGTCGGGCGGCCGGGCAGCCGAGCCGCCCAGTCGCCGAGCCGCCCGGGAGCCGAGTCGCCCTGCACCCGAGCCGTCCGTCGCCGAGCCGCCCAGGAGCCGAGCCGCCCTGCACCCGAGCCGCCCTGCCGCCGAGCCGCCCGGGAGCTGAGCAGCTGTACACCCGAGCCGCCCGGTCGCCGCTCTGCTTTTCTGTCGAGCTGCACGGCCTGCCCTGCCTGGTGAGCACAGTCCCTCTGTCACTGCGCCCTCTTTCCCTACTGCTTGCACTGCTTCGCTGTCGTCATCATGGCCACCCCTAGTGTCCTAGCCTTTGACGCCGAGGGTCGCGCCATTGATTTTGAGGTCTGGCTAGATGACCTGCAGCTTTTCTTACAGTGCGACAGAGCTGACAGCCTTTGTCTCTTTGACCTCACCTCTGGCGCCTCTCCTGCTCCTACTGCCGATGCTGATCCCACTGTCCGCTCTCAGTGGGCCACCCGCGATGCTGCTGCACGTCTTGCTGTGCGTCGCCACCTCCCTACCTCTGAGCGTGCGCATTTTAGTCAGTACAAGAGTGCTCAGACCTTGTACGACGCTGTAGTTGCACGCTACTCCTCTCCTGCCACTGCTGCACTGAGCCGTCTCATACTTCCCTACCTCTTTCCTGACCTCTCTGCCTTTCCCACTGTCGCTGACCTCATTACGCACCTTCGCACTAGTGACACTCGCTACCGCGCCGCCCTTCCTGCTGAGTTCTGCGCTAAGAACCCCCCCCCCCATGTACATCACTCTCTACTACGTAGTCGCACGCCTCCCTGACTCCCTCCGCGTAGTCAGGGACCACTTTCTCGCAGTCTGTCCCACCACTCTCACCGTCGACCTCCTCGAGAAGGCCCTCCTCGCAGCGGAGAAGAGCATAGTCGCTGTCGGTGCCTCTCGTGGTGACCCTCGCACCCCCATCTTTGAGGGGTGCTCTCCTTCCCCCTTGCTGCCCTCTGTTGCCTCTGCTGCTGCGGCCGACCTGCTTGGTCTTGAGTCGGTCGGCGCGGCGTCTGCCCCTAGTGGGAGACGTCGCTCTGGCAAGGGCAAGGGGGGCAAGGGCGCGGGCGGAGCTGGAGGGGGCGGTGGCGGTGGCGGCGGAGGCGGCGGAGGGAGTGGGGGTGGCGGCGGGAGTAGTGGTAGTGGTGGTGGTGGTGGTGGCAGCAGCGGCGGAGACGGTGGTGGTGGTGGCACCGGTGGTGGTGGAGGCAGCAGCGGGAGTGGAGGCGGTGGAGGTGGAGGCGGTGGAGGTGGAGGCGGTGGAGGCGGCGGCGGAGGAGGCGGTGGTGGTGGAGGAGGTGGAGCTGGTCGTGGTGGTACCCAGCAGCGGAGCGGCGGTGGTGGTGGCCAGCGCTTGCAGCGGCAGCAGCAGCAGCGTTCGCGGGACATCCCTCCGCCTCAGCAGCTTCGTGAGTGGTACACTGCGCGTCAGAGGGGTGGGGGTACTGGTCCTTGCGCCTACGTTCTTCGTTCCGGCGACCGCGCGGGTGAGCAGTGTGGGGGTGCCCACTCCACCCAGCGCTGCTTTGGCCGCCTGACGGACGCTTGGCGTCAGCAGTTCCCCGGGGCTAGTGAGATCCCTCGCTGGGATGAGCTCCTTAGGGCTGGTGTAGCGATCTTTGATCTTGATTTTGATGCTATCCTTTCTGCTATGTATGCTGTGACTTATAGTGAGGAGAATGAGGGTTACCGGTGTTTCCAGCCCGACCCGGGCATTGGTACTGCTGCCCTAGGTACTTGTGAGGCTGCTGCTCTAGGTGCCAGTGCGTCTGCGCTCTCAGGTACTAGTGAGACTGCGCTCTCAGGTGCTGGTGAGACTGCGCTCTCAGGTACTGCGTCGCCCTCGTCCTCCCTCACTTTCACACTTGACTCTGGGGCTTCTCGCTCCTTCTTTCGAGACCGCACTACCCTCACGCCACTTGGCCGACCGGTTGCGGTCTCCCTTGCTGACCCCTCTGGGGGTCCTGTCCTGTCTCACTTCTCCACTGTCCTCCCGTGTCCGGCTGCCCCTTCGGGCACCCTGTCTGGTCTGTACCTTCCCTCGTTCTCTACGAACTTGGTGAGTGGTGCGGACCTACAGGATGCGGGGGTTCACCAGTTCACTCCTGCGAGGCGGCGGGTGACCCACTGCACGGACGCAGACACAGGCCGACACCTGGCCACCTTTTCGCGTCGGCCGGGGTCGAGTCTCTACACCCTGACCACTTCGTCTCCTCCTGTCCCTGTGTCTGGTCAGGTAGCTGCGTCAGGTCAGGTGTTTGCTGCTGCGTCCCGGTCAGGTCCTGAGTCTGCCCCCTGTTCGTGTCGCCTCCTGTCTCACGAGACTCTCCTGTGGCACCACCGTCTAGGCCACCCCTCCTTGGCTCGTCTTCGGAGCATGGCTTCCCGTGTCCTTGTCTCTGGTCTTCCCCGGTCTCTCCCTCCTCCCCCCCCCGGGCCAGGGCCTTCCTGTGTCCCCTGTGTCGAGGGTCGCCTCCGGGCTACTCCTCACTCTTCCCACTTCCCCCCGACAGAGGCTCCGCTGCAGACGCTTCACATGGATGTGTGGGGCCCGGCCCCCGTCCGTGGGCAGGGTTACGAGCGCTACTTCCTGTTGGTGGTTGACGACTACTCGCGTTACACCACAGTCCTCCCCTTGCGCAGCAAGGGTGCTGTCACTGAGGTGCTGATCGACTGGATCCGCGAGGCTCGTCTCCAGCTCAGGAAGAGCTTCGGCTCTGACTTTCCTGTTCTACGTCTACACTCGGATAGAGGCGGAGAGTTCTCCTCTCGCCTTCTGCGAGACTACTGTCGTGCACGGGGGATCCGCCAGACCTTCACACTTCCGGACTCACCACAGCAAAATGGGATTGCTGAGCGCCGCATTGGCATGGTCATGGATGTCGCTCGTACGTCCATGATGCATGCGGCTGCCCCCCATTTTCTGTGGCCGTTTGCGGTGAGGTACGCGGCGCATCAGCTCAACCTTCACCCGCGGGTCTCTAGGCCTGCGATGTCCCCAGCCTTGCTGTGGACGGGGAAGGTTGGCGATGCGTCTGTGTTTCGTGTCTGGGGATCTCGGGCGTTTGTCCGCGACTTGTTTGCGGACAAGCTGTCCCCTCGTGCTGCTCCCTGTGTCTTCCTTGGCTTCCCCACTAACGCCCCAGGGTGGCAGTTCTACCACCCCTCCTCTCGTCGTGTTCTGTCCTCCCAGGACGTCACGTTCGACGAGTCGGTCCCCTTCTACCGTCTCTTCCCCTACCGCACCCCTTCCCTCCCCCCTCCCCCGGACTTCCTTGTGCCGGTTCCCCCCCCGGTAGACCCCCTTCCCCCTCAGGTTCCTGCTCCCTCAGGTGTGTCCCAGGTAGACGCCGTTGACCCGGTTGAGGTTACTGGTGACTCTGGTGCTGCTGCGGGTGCTGAGCCTGGGGGTGCTGACTCTGGGGGTGCTGTCCGCGGGGGTGCTGAGCCTGGAGGAGCTGCTGCTGGGGGTCCTGAGCCTGGGGGTGCTAGTGCGGAGGGTGCGGAGCCTAGGAGTGCTGCGCCGGGGGGTGCTGTCACTGGAGGTGCTGGGTCTGGGGGTGCTGAGTCGGGAGCTGCTGAGCCTGGGGGTGCTGAGTTGGGAGCTGCTGCGCCTGGGGGTGCTGTGTCTGGAGCTGCTGAGCTTGGGGGTGCTGCGTCTGGAGCTACTGCGCCTGGGGTTTCTCCTGCTGCTCAGCCTCCCCGGGAGCCTCTCTCTCCACAGGAGTTGCGCGAGTGGTTCGCTCGTCGTTGGAGGCGTGCTGCTGAGTCTGGGGGTGTTGCTGGAGCTGGAGCTGGACCTTCTTCGACTGACGAGGGTGCTGGTGCTGCCGGTCCCGGAGCTGCTGGGCCTGCGGGTCCTCTTGGAGTTGGCGCTGCTGAGGGTGTTGGTGCTGAGACTGCTGCTGTTGGTCCTGCTGCTGGAGGAGTTGGTGGCCCTGGTGCTGTCGCTGAGGGTACTGGAGCTGTCCCTGCTGTGCCTGGAGCTGCTGAGCGGCCTCGACCGTACTTCGTTCCGCTACTGCAGCAGGTTCTTGGTCTTTCTCCTCCGGTAGAGAGTCCACCGCCTGTCCAGTCGCAGTCCCTGCTGGAGCCTTCCTCTCCGCTACCTGCTCCCTCTCCTTACACTGGTCCTACTGGAGGTCTTGCTGAGCGTCGTGAGCCTGCGTCTCGTCCTGCGTCGCCTGTTCGTCCTGCTCGCGCTACTGGTCGCGGTTCGCGTCAGCGTCCTCCTCCTGTCCCTGGCACGCACCAGATGTCTTTGCGTCCGTCCACTGCTCCTCTGCGTGCCCCTTTGCCTTCTCCTCCTGCGTCCTCTCTTCCTGCGCTTGCCGACCCTGCGTCGGACTCTCTGCGTGCTGCCAGTCCTACTGTCCCGCGTTTCCTTGCTACTGTGGTCACTGACCCTTCTTTCGAGTCTTCTGCTGCGTCTGCCCTACTCACTGAGCTTGTCGACTTTGCTGCTCGCTGTCGCTTAGACTACGCTGCTAGTCTTGTTGCTGAGTCTGCGTCTGTCTGTCCTCCATCCGTCGGGGGTGAGTGTGCTCTTGGCACGGACGAAGCACATTGCTCTCCGCTACTTCCTTGCTCGTGAGCTGCAGCAGCGTGGTCAGCTGCGACTTGCGTACGTGGCCTCTGAGGCCAACACTGCTGATGTGTTCACCAAGGCACTCGCGCCTTGTGACCATCAGCGCTTCTGTACCCAGCTGGGTCTTGTGCCTGTCTTGCCTCACTTGCTCTCTTCCTGACTTCACTTGTACTGTGATATATATATATACCTGCTCTTGCTTGTCTAGTAATATATATATGATTGTACTCCTGCATGTGAACTGGCCTCTGGCCCTGCTCTTGTGCTCGGACTGTGTGGTGACTTTGTGATCCACCCTGAGCTTGCTTTGCTTTGCTTGACTGGTCTTGTGACCCCTTGTTCTCCCCCACTTTGCCTATGGGGGTGTGTCAGAACATTATAGCTGATACATGTTTGTAGGCTGTAGTGGGGTAGCACATATGGGGTACAGATTCCTAGGGTTTGTTATTTGTACCAATTTCTGACTTAGTCATTTCATTCCTCTTCTCATTGTTTCACATAACGCACATGTGTAGAGAAAATGGAGCATCGGCCAGTCTGGCCGGCATTTCGCACTTATAGTGCAAGTAGGGCGAAGGAGAACGGAAACGCTCATTTCTCAAAAAGTAATGGGAATCTAGCGGTCTCACTCGATCAGAAGGTGGGAAATATATAAATCTAGTGAGCTAATAAGGTTCAAAAGGAATCTAATGCATATGTATATGAAAAATGGTGCATTGGCCAGGTCGGTCAGTATGGGAACGTAGAGTGCAAATGCCAGGGAGAACGGAAGCGCTCAGATATCGCATAGTACACGGAATCTAGTGGTCTCACTCAAATAGAATGTAGGAAATAAATTCATCTAGCGAACATAAGGGTTTGAAAGGTAACTAACGCACATGTATAGAGAAAATGGTGCATCAGCCAGTCTGGCCGGCATTTCGCACTTATAGTGCAAGTAGGGCCAAGGAGAACGGAAACACTCATTTCTCAAAAAGTAAAGGGAATCTAGCGGTCTCACTCGATCAGAAGGTGGGAGATATATAAATCTAGTGAGCTAATAAGGTTCGGAAGGAATCTAATGCATATGTATATGGAAAGTGGTGCCTGGCCAGGTCGGTCACTATGGGAACTTAGAGTGCAAATGCGTGGGAGAACGGAACCGCTCAAATCTCGCACAATACACGGAATCTAGTGGTCTCACTCAAATATAAGGTAGGAAATAAATTCATCTAGTGAACGTAAGGGTTTGAAAGGTAACTAACGCACATGTGTAGAGAAAATGGTGCATCGGCCAGTCTGGCTGGCATTTCGCACTTATAGTGCAAGTAGGGCCAAGGAGAACCGAAACGCTCATTTCTCAAAAAGTAGAGGGAATCTAGTAGTCTGACTCGATTAGAAGGTGAGAAATATATAAATCTAGTGAGCTAATAAGGTTCGAAACGAATCTAATGCATATGTATATGGAAAATGGTGCATTGGCCAGGTCGGTCAGTATGGGAACTTGGAGTGCAAATGCCTCGGAGAACGGAACCGCTCAGATCTCGCATAATACACGGAATCTAGTGGTCTCACTCAAATATAAGGTAGGAAAATTATTCATCCAGTGAACGTAAGGGTTTGAAAGGTAACTAACGTACATGTGTAGAGAAAATGGTGCATCGGCCAGTTTGGCCGGCATTTCGCACTCATAGTGCAGGTGGGGCCAGGGAGAACGGAAACGCTCGTTTCTCAAAAAGTAGAGGGAATCTAACGGTCTCACTCGATCAGAAGGTGGGAAATATATAAATCTAGTCAGCTAAAAAGGTTTGAAATGTATTCAACGCACATGTATAGAGAAAATGGTGCATTGGCCAGGTCGGTCAGTATCGGAACTTAAAATGCAAATGCCAGGGAGAACGGAAGCGCTCAGATCTCGCATAGTACACGGAATCAAGTGGTCTCACTCAAATAGAAAGTAGGAAATAAATTCATCTAGTGAACGTAAGGGTTTGAAAGGTAACTAACGCACATGTGTAGAGAAAATTGTGCATCGGTCAGTCTGGCCGGCATTTCGCACTTATAGTGCAACTAGGGCCAAGGAGAACGGAAACGCTCATTTCTCGAAAAGTAGAGGGAATCTAGCGGTCTCACTTGATCAGAAGGTGGGAAATATATAAATCTAGTAAGCTAATAAGGTTCCAAAGGAATCTAATGCATATGTATATGGAAAATGGTGCATTGGCCAGGTCGGTCAGTATGGGAACTTAGAGTGCAAATGCCAGGGAGAACGGAAGCGCTCAGATCTCGCATAGTACACGGAATCTAGTGGTCTCACTCAAATAGAAGGTAGGAAATAAATTCATCTAGTGAACGTAAGGGTTTGAAAGGTAACTAACGCACATGTGTAGAGAAAATGGTGCATCGGCTAGTCTGGCCGGCATTACGCACTTTTAGTGCAACTAGGGCCAAGGAGAACGGAAACGCTCATTTCTCAAAACGTAAAGGGAATCTAGCGGTCTCACTCGATCAGAAGGTGGGAAATATATAAATCTAGTGAGCTTATAATGTTCGGAAGGAATCTAATGCATATGTATATGGAAAGTGGTGCATTGGCCAGGTCGGTCAGTATGGGAACTTAGAGTGCAAATGCCTCGGAGAACGGAAGCGCTCAGATCTCGCATAGTACACGGAATCTAGTGGTCTCACTCAAATAGAAGGTAGGAAATAAATTCATCTAGTGAACGTAAGGGTTTGAAAGGTAACTAACGCACATGTGTAGAGAAAATTGCGCATCGGCCAGTCTGGCCAGCATTTCGCACTTATAGTGCAAGTAGGGCCAAGGAGAACGGAAACGCTCATTTCTCAAAAAGTAGAGGGAATCTAGCGGTCTCACTCGATCAGAAGGTGGGAAATATATAAATCTAATGAGCTAATAAGGTTTGAAAGGAATCTAATGCATATGTATATGGAAAATGGTGCATTGGCCAGGTCGGTCAGTATGGGAATGTAGAGTGCAAATGCCAGGGAGAACGGAAGCGCTCAGATCTCGCATAGTACACGGAATCTAGTGGTCTCACTCGAATAGAAGGTAGGAAATAAATTCATCTAGTGGACGTAAGGGTTTGAAAGGTAACTAACGCACATGTGTAGAGAAAATGGAGCATCGGCCAGTCTCGCCGGCATTTCGCACTTATAGTGCAAGTAGGGCCAAGGAGAACGGAAACACTCATTTCTCAAAAAGTAAAGGGAATCTAGCAGTCTCACTCGATCAGAAGGTGGGAAATATATGAATCTAGTGAGCTAATAAGGTTCGAAAGGAATCTAATGCATATGTATATGGAAAATGGTGCATTGGCCAGGTCGGTCAGTATGGGAACTTAGAGTGCAAATGCCAGGGAGAACGGAAGCGCTCAGATCTCGCATAGTACACGGAATCTAGTGGTCTCACTCAAATAGAAGGTAGGAAATAAATTCATCTAGTGAACGTAAGGGTTTGAAAGGTAACTAACGCACATGTGTAGAGAAAATGGAGCATCGGCCAGTCTGGCCAGCATTTCGCACTTATAGTGCAAGAAGGGCCAAGGAGAACGGAAACGCTCATTTCTCAAAAAGTAAAGGGAATCTAGCACTCTCACTCGATCAGAAGGTGGGAAATATATAAATCTAGTGAGCTTACAAGGTTCGAAAGGAATCTAATGCATATGTATATGGAAAATGGTGCATTGGCCAGGTCGGTCAGTATGGGAACTTAAAGTGCAAATGCCTGGGAGAACGGAACCGCTAAGATCTCGCATAATACACGGAATCTAGTGGTCTCACTCAAATATAAGGTAGGAAATATATTCATCTAGTGAACGTAAGGGTTTGAAAGGTAAATAACGCACATGTGTAGAGAAAATGGTGCATCGGCCAGTCTGGCCGGCATTTCGCACTCATAGTGCAGGTGGGGCCAGGGAGAACGGAAACGCTCGTTTCTAAAAAAGTAGAGGGAATCTAATGGTCTCACTCGATCAGAAGGTGGAAAATATATAAATCTAGTGAGCTTATAATGTTCGGAAGGAATCTAATGCATATGTATATGGAAAGTGGTGCATTGGCCAGGTCGGTCAGTATGGGAACTTAGAGTGCAAATGCCTCGGAGAACGGAAGCGCTCAGATCTCGCATAGTACACGGAATCTAGTGGTCTCACTCAAATAGAAGGTAGGAAATAAATTCATCTAGTGAACGTAAGGGTTTGAAAGGTAACTAACGCACATGTGTAGAGAAAATTGCGCATCGGCCAGTCTGGCCAGCATTTCGCACTTATAGTGCAAGTAGGGCCAAGGAGAACGGAAACGCTCATTTCTCAAAAAGTAGAGGGAATCTAGCGGTCTCACTCGATCAGAAGGTGGGAAATATATAAATCTAATGAGCTAATAAGGTTTGAAAGGAATCTAATGCATATGTATATGGAAAATGGTGCATTGGCCAGGTCGGTCAGTATGGGAACGTAGAGTGCAAATGCCAGGGAGAACGGAAGCGCTCAGATCTCGCATAGTACACGGAATCTAGTGGTCTCACTCGAATAGAAGGTAGGAAATAAATTCATCTAGTGGACGTAAGGGTTTGAAAGGTAACTAACGCACATGTGTAGAGAAAATGGAGCATCGGCCAGTCTCGCCGGCATTTCGCACTTATAGTGCAAGTAGGGCCAAGGAGAACGGAAACACTCATTTCTCAAAAAGTAAAGGGAATCTAGCAGTCTCACTCGATCAGAAGGTGGGAAATATATGAATCTAGTGAGCTAATAAGGTTCGAAAGGAATCTAATGCATATGTATATGGAAAATGGTGCATTGGCCAGGTCGGTCAGTATGGGAACTTAGAGTGCAAATGCCAGGGAGAACGGAAGCGCTCAGATCTCGCATAGTACACGGAATCTAGTGGTCTCACTCAAATAGAAGGTAGGAAATAAATTCATCTAGTGAACGTAAGGGTTTGAAAGGTAACTAACGCACATGTGTAGAGAAAATGGAGCATCGGCCAGTCTGGCCAGCATTTCGCACTTATAGTGCAAGAAGGGCCAAGGAGAACGGAAACGCTCATTTCTCAAAAAGTAAAGGGAATCTAGCACTCTCACTCGATCAGAAGGTGGGAAATATATAAATCTAGTGAGCTTACAAGGTTCGAAAGGAATCTAATGCATATGTATATGGAAAATGGTGCATTGGCCAGGTCGGTCAGTATGGGAACTTAAAGTGCAAATGCCTGGGAGAACGGAACCGCTAAGATCTCGCATAATACACGGAATCTAGTGGTCTCACTCAAATATAAGGTAGGAAATATATTCATCTAGTGAACGTAAGGGTTTGAAAGGTAAATAACGCACATGTGTAGAGAAAATGGTGCATCGGCCAGTCTGGCCGGCATTTCGCACTCATAGTGCAGGTGGGGCCAGGGAGAACGGAAACGCTCGTTTCTAAAAAAGTAGAGGGAATCTAATGGTCTCACTCGATCAGAAGGTGGAAAATATATAAATCTAGTCAGCTAAAAAGGTTTGAAATGTATTCAACGCACATGTATAGAGAAAATGGTGCATTGGCCAGGTCGGTTAGTATCGGAACTTAAAATGCAAATGCCAGGGAGAACGGAAGCGCTCAGATCTCGCATAGTACACGGAATCTAGTGGTCTCACTCAAATAGAAAGTAGGAAATATATTCATCTAGTGAACGTAAGGGTTTGAAAGGTAACTAACGCACATGTGTAGAGAAAATGGTGCGTCGGCCAGTCTGGCCGGCATTTCGCACTTATAGTGCAAGTAGGGCCAAGGAGAACGGAAACGCTCATTTCTCAAAAAGTAAAGGGAATCTAGCGGTCTCACTCGATCAAAAGGTGGGAAATATATAAATCTAGAGAGCTAATAAGGTTCGAAAGGAATCTAATGCATATGTATATGGAAAATGGTGCATTGGCCAGGTCGGTAAGTATGGGAACTTAGAGTGCAAATGCCAGGGAGAACGGAAGCGCTCAGATCTCGCATAGTACACGGAATATAGTGGTCTCACTCAAATAGAAGGTAGGAAATAAATTCATCTAGTGAACATAAAGGTTTGGAAGGTAACTAACCTACATGTGTAGAGAAAATGGTGCATCGGCCAGTCTGACCGGCATTTCGCACTTATAGTGCAAGTAGGGCCAATGAGAACGGAAACGCTCATTTCTCAAAAAGTAAAGGGAATCTAGCGGTCTCACTCGATCAGAAGGTGGGAAATATATTAATCTAGTGAGCTTATAAGGTTCGGAAGGAATCTAATGCATATGTATATGGAAAGTGGTGCATTGGCCAGGTCGGTCAGTATGGGAACTTAGAGTGCAAATGCCTAGGAGAACGCAACCGCTCAGATCTCGCATAATGCACGGAATCTAGTGGTCCCACTCAAATATAAGGTAGGAAATAAATTCATGTAGTGAACGTAAGGGTTTGAAAGGTAACTAACGCACATGTGTAGAGAAAATGGTGCATCGGCCAGTCTGGCCGGCATTTCGCACTCATAGTGCAGGTGGGGCCAGAGAGAACGGAAACACTCGTTTCTCAAAAAGTAGAGGGAATCTAATGGTCTCACTCGATCAGAAGGTGGGAAATATATAAATCTAGTCAGCTAAAAAGGTTTGAAATGTATTCAACGCACATGTATAGAGAAAATGGTGCATTGGCCAGGTCGATCAGTATCGGAACTTAAAATGCAAATGCCAGGGAGAATGGACGCACTCACATCTCGCATAGTACACGGAATCAAATGGTCTCACTCAAATAGAAAGTTGGAAATATATTCATCTAGTGAACGTAAGGGTTTGAAAGGTAACTAACGCACATGTGTAGAGAAAATGGTGCATCGGCCAGTCTGGCCGGCATTTCGCACTTATAGTGCAACTAGGGCCAAGGAAAACGGAAACGCTCATTTCTCAAAAAGTATAGGGAATCTAGCGGTCTCACTCGATCAGAAGGTGGGAAATATATAAATCTAGTGAGCTAATAAGGTTCGAAAGGAATCTAATGCATATGTATATGGAAAATGGTGCATTGGCCAGGTCAGTCAGTATGGGAACTTAGAGTGCAAATGCCAGGGAGAACGGAAGCGTTCAGATCTCGCATAGTACACGGAATCTAGTGGTCTCACTCAAATCGAAGGTAGGAAATAAATTCATCTATTGAACGTAATGGTGTGAAAGGTAACTAACGCACATGTGTAGAGAAAATGGTGCATCGGCCAGTCTGGCCGGCATTTCGCACTGATAGTGCAAGTAGGGCCAAGGAGAACGGAAACGCTCATTTCTCAAAAAGTAAAGGGAATCTAGCGGTCTCACTCGATCAGAAGGTGGGAAATATATAAATCTAGTGAGCTAATAAGGTTCGGAAGGAATCTAATGCATATGTATATGGAAAGTGGTGCATTGGCCAGGTCGGTCAGTATGGGAACTTAGAGTGCAAATGCCTGGGAGAACGGAACCGCTCAGATCTCGCATAATACACGGAATCTAGTGGTCTCACTCAAATAGAAGGTAGGAAATAAATTCATCTAGTGAACGTAAGGGTTTGAAAGGTAACTAACGCACATGTTTAGAGAAAATGGTGCATTGGCCACTCTAGCCGGCGGTTCGCACTCATAGTGCAGGTGGGGCCAGGGAGAACGGAAACGCTCGTTTCTCAAAAATTTGAGGGAATCTAACTGTCTCACTTGATGAGAAGGTGAGAAATGTATAAATCTAGTCAGCTAAAAAGGTTTGAAATGTATTCAATGCATATGTATAGAGAAAATGGTGCATTGGCCAGGTCGGTCAGTATCGGAACATAAAATGCAAATGCCAGGGAGAACGGAAGCGCTCAGATCTCGCATAGTACACGGAATCAAGTGGTCTCACTCAAATAGAAAGTAGGAAATCTATTCATCTAGTGAACGTAAGGGTTTGAAAGGTAACTAACGCACATGCGTAGAGAAAATTGTGCATCGGCCAGTCTAGCCGGCATTTCGCACTTATAGTGCAACTAGGGCCAAGGAGAACGGAAACGCTCATTTCTCAAAAAGTAGAGGGAATCTAGCGGTCTCACTCGATCAGAAGGTGGGAATTATATAAATCTAATACATATGTATATGTAAAATGGTGCATTGGCCAGGTCGGTCAGTATGGGAACTTAGAGTGCAAATGACATGGACGTGGACGTGGACGTGGACGTGGACATGGACATGGACATGGACATGGACGTGGACATGAACGTGGACGTGGACATGGACATGGATGTGGACATGGACGTGGACGTGTCCATGTCCATGTCCACGTCCACGTCCACGTCTATGTCCACGTCCACGTTCACGTCCACGTCCATGTCCATGTCCATGTCCACGTCCACGTCCATGTCCACGTCCACGTCCATGTCCAAGTCCATGTCCCTGTCTACGTCCACGTCCACGTCCATGTCCACGTCCACGTCCTCGTCCACGTCCAGGTCCACGTCCATGTCTACGTCCACGTCCACGTCCACGTCCATGTCCATGTCCACGTCCATGTCCACGACCATGTCCACGTCCACGACCACGTCCACGTCCACGTCCACGTCCACGTCTAAGTTCATGTCCACGTCCACGTCCACGTCCATGTCCACATCCACGACCATGTCTTCGTCCACATCCACGTCCACGTCCATGTCCACGTCCATGTCCACGTCCAAGTTCTCCACGTCCACGTCTTCTTCCACGTCGACGTCCACGTACATGTCCACGTCCTTGTCCACGTCCACGTCCACGTCCATGTCCACGTCCACGTCCATGTCCACATCCACGTCCACGTCAACGTCCATCTCCACGTCCAAGTCCTCCACGTCCACGTCCACGTCCATCTCCACGTCCACGTCCACGTCCACGTCCACGCCCACGTCCACGTCCACGTCCATGTCCACGTCCATGTCCACGTCCATGTCCACGTCAATGTCCACGTCCACGTCCATGTCCACGTCCACGTCCACGTCCATGTCCACGTCCATGTCCACGTCCATGTCCACGTCCACGTCCATGTTCACGTCCACGTCTTGTTCACGTCCACGTCCATGTCCACGTCCACGTCCACGACCACGTCCACGTCCACGTCCATGTCCACGTCCACGTCCACGTCCACGTCTATGTCCAGGTCCATGTCCACGTCCACGTCCACGTCCACGTCCATGTCCACGTCCACGTCCACGTCCACGTCCACATCCACGACCATGTCTTCGTCCACATCCACGTCCACGTCCATGTCCACGTCCATGTCCATGTCCAAGTTCTCCACGTCCACGTCTTCTTCCACGTCGACGTCCACGTACATGTCCACGTCCATGTCCACGTCCACGTCCACGTCCATGTCCACGTCCACGTCCATGTCCACGTCCACGTCCACGTCAACGTCCATCTCCACGTCCAAGTCCTCCACGTCCACGTCCACGTCCATCTCCACGTCCACGTCCACGTCCACGTCCACGCCCACGTCCACGTCCACGTCCATGTCCACGTCCATGTCCACGTCCATGTCCACGTCCATGTCCATGTCCACGTCCATGTCCACGTCCATGTCCACGTCCATGTCCACGTCCACGTCCATGTCCACGTCCAAGTCCACGTCCACGTCCATGTCCACGTCCATGTCCACGTCCATGTCCACGTCCACGTCCATGTCCACGTCCATGTTCACGTCCACGTCTTGTTCACGTCCACGTCCATGTCCACGTCCGCGTCCACGTCCACGACCACGTCCACGTCCACGTCCATGTCCACGTCCACGTCCACATCCACGTCTATGTCCAGGTCCACGTCCACGTCCACGTCCACGTCCACGTCCACGTCCACATCCACGTCCACGTCCATGTCCACGTCCACGTCCACGTCCATGTCCACATCCAAGTCCTCCACGTCCACGTCCACGTCCACGTTCACGTCCATGTCCACGTCCAAGTTCTCCACGTCCACGTCCACGTCCACGTCCACGTCCTCCACGTCCACATCCACGTCCACGTCCACGTCCACGTCCACGTCCACGTGCACGTGCACGTCCACGTCCACGTCCACGTCCATGTCCACGTCCACGACCACTCCACGTCCACTCCACGTCCACGTCCACGTCCACGTCCATGTCCACGTCCATGTCCACGTCGACGTCCACGTCCATGTCCACGTCCATGTCCACGTCCACGTCCACGTACACGTCCACGTCCACGTCCACGTCGTCCACGTCCACGTCCACGTCCACGTCCACGTCCACGTCCATGTCCACGTCCACGTCCACGTCCACGTCAACGTCCACATCCACGTCCACTCCACGTCCACGTCGATGTCCACGTCCAAGTCCTCCACGTCCACGTCCACGTCCACGTTCACGTCCATGTCCACGTCCAAGTTCTCCACGTCCACGTCCACGTCCACGTCAAGGTCCACGTCCACGTCCTCCACGTCCACGTCCACGTCCACGTCCACGTCCACGTCCACGTCCACGTCTACGTCTACGTCGACGTCCACGTCCATGCCCACGTCCACGTCCATGTCCACGTCCACGTCCACGTCCACGTCCACGTTCACGTTCACGTTCACGTCCATGTCCACGTCCAAGTTCTCCACGTCCACGTCCACGTCCACGTCCACGTCCACGTCCTCCACGTCCACGTCCACGTCCACGTCCACGTCCACGTCTACGTCCATGTCCACGTCCACGTCCACGTCCACGTCCATGTCCACGTCCACGTCCACGTCCACGTCCACGTCCACGTCCACGTCCATGTCCACGTCCACGTCCACGTCCACGTCCACTCCACGTCTACCTCCACGTCCATGTCCACGTCCACGTCCACGTCGACGTCCACATCCACGTCCACGTCCACGTCCAGGTCCACGTCCACGTCCACGTTCACGTCCATGTCCACGTCCAAGTCTACGTCCACGTCCACCTCCACGTCCACCTCCACGTCCACGTCCACGTCCACGTCCACCTCCACGTCCACGTCCACGTCCACCTCCACGTCCACGTCCACGTCCACGTCCACGTCCACGTCCACGTCCACGTCCAGGTCCACGTCCAGGTCCACGACCAGGTCCACGTCCAGGTCCACTCCACGTCCACGTCCACGTCCACGTCCACGTCCACGTCCACGTCCACGTCAACGTCCATGTCCACGTCCACGTCCACGTCACACGTCCAGGTCCACGTCCACGTCCACGTCCACGTCCACGTCCACGTCAACGTCCACGTCAACGTCCACGTCCACGTCCACGTCCACGTCCATGTCCACGTCCACGTCCACGTCCACGTCCACGTCCACGTCCACGTCCACGTCCACTCCACGTCCACGTCCACGTCCCAGTCCACGTCCACGTCCACGTCCACGTCCATGTCGATGTCCACGTCCACGTCCACGTCCACGTCCACGTCCACGTCTACGTCCACGTCCACGTCCACGTCCACGTCCAGGTCCACGTCCACGTCCACGTCACGTCCACGTCTACGTCCACGTCCACGTCCACGTCCTTGTCCACGTCCACGACCACGTCCAGGTCCACGTCCACGTCCACGTCCACGTCCACGTCCATGTCCACCTCCACGTCCACGTCCACGTCAATGTCCACGTCCACGTCCAGTCCACGTCCAGTCCACGTCCACGTCCACGTCCACCTCCACGTCCACCTCCACGTCCACGTCCACGTCCACCTCGACGTCCACGTCGACGTCCACGTCCACGTCCACCTCCACGTCCACGTCCACGTCCACGTCCACGTCCACGTCCACGTCCACATCCACGTCCACGTCCAGGTCCACGTCCAGGTCCACGACCAGGTCCACGTCCAGGTCCACTCCACGTCCACGTCCACGTCCACGTCCACGTCACGTCCACGTCCACGTCCACGTCCACGTCCACGTCCACGTCCACGTCAACGTCCACGTCAACGTCCACGTCCACGTCCACGTCCACGTCCACGTCCAGGTCCACGTCCACGTCCACGTCCATGTCCACGTCCACGTCCACGTCCACTCCACGTCCACGTCCACGTCCCAGTCCACGTCCACGTCCACGTCCACGTCCATGTCCACGTCCACGTCCACGTCCACGTCCACGTCTACGTCCACGTCCACGTCCACGTCCAGGTCCACGTCCACGTCCACGTCACGTCCACGTCTACGTCCACGTCCACGTCCACGTCCATGTCCACGTCCACGACCACGTCCACGTCCACGTCCACGTCCACGTCCACGTCCATGTCCACGTCCACGTCCACGTCCACGTCCACGTCAATGTCCACGTCCACGTCCAGTCCACGTCCACGTCCACGTCCACGTCCAGGTCCACGTCCACGTCCACGTCCACGTCCACGTCCACTCCACGTCCACGTCCCAGTCCACGTCCACGTCCGCGTCCACGTCCATGTCCACGTCCACTCCACTCCACGTCCACGTCCCAGTCCACGTCCACGTCCACGTCCACGTCCATGTCCACGTCTATGTCCACGTCCACGTCTACGTCGAGGTCCACGTCCACGTCCACGTCCACATCCACGTCCACGTCCACGTCCACGTCCACGTCACGTCCACGTCCACGTCCATGTCCACGTCCACGTCCACGTCCATGTCCACGTCCACGACCACGTCCACGTCCACGTCCACGTCCACGTCCACGTCCACGTCCACGTCCATGTCCACCTCCACGTCCACGTCCACGTCCACGTCGATGTCAACGTCCACGTCCACGTCCACGACCACGTCCACGTCCACGTCCACGTTCACGTCCACGACCACGTCCACGTCCACGTCCACGTCCAGGTCCACGTCCACGTCCACGTCCACCTCCATGTCCACGCCCACGTCCATGTCCACGTCCACGTCCACGTCCATGTCCACGTCCAAGTCCTCCACGTCCATGTCCACGTCCACGTTCACGTCCATGTCCACGTCCAAGTTCTCCACGTCCACGTCCACGTCCACTTCCACGTCCATGTCCACGTCCACGTCCATGTCCACGTCCAACTCCTCCACGTCCACGTCCACGTCCATGTCCACGTCCATGTCCACGTCAACGTCCACGTCCACGTCTACGTCCATGTCTACGTCCACGTCCACGTCTACGTTCACGTCCACGTCCACAACCACGTCCACGTCCACGTCCATGTCCACGTCCACGTCCACGTCCACGTCCACGTCCATGTCCACGTCCACGTCTACATCCACGTCCATGTCCACGTCCACGTCTACGTCCATGTCCACGTCCACGTCCACGTCCATGTCCACGTCCATGTCCACGTCCACGTCCACGTCCACGTCCATGTCCACGTCCATGTCCTCCTCCGCGTTTCCATCCGCTCTTCCCCTCTCCCCATCTCACTAGCTCCAGCCCATCCTTCCTCCCTCATTCCTTCCGAAGGGGTGGGACAGATAGGGAGGAACAGATGGGGAGAAACAGAGGTGGTCGCTACGCCACCACAATCGAACAGCGTTTTGATTCCCTCTCTGCTCCCCACCATCCTCCCCCCAGCTCTCTCCCCGGCATCTGCCCACGTTCCCCCCATCCTCTTCCCTGCTTCCCCGTATCCCTAGCCGTGCTTCCCCCTATCCTATCCCCTCTTACCCCGTATCCCCTGCCCTGCTTCCCCCCATCCCCTTCCCTGCTTCCCCCCATCCCCTTCCCTACTTCCCCCCATCCCCTTCCCACATCCATGTCCACGTCCATGTCCACGTCCACGTCCATGTCCACGTCCACGTCCACGTCCACGTCGACGTCCATATCCACGTCGTCCATATCCACGTCTACGTCCACGTCCACGTCCATGTCCACGTCCACGTCACGTCAACGTCCACGTCCATGTCCACGTCCACGTCCACATCCATGTCCACGTTCACGTCCATGTCCACGTCCACGACCATGTCCACGTCCACGTCCACGTCCATGTCCACGTCCACGTCCACGTCCACGTCCATGTCCACGTCCACGTCCACGTCCACGACCATGTCCACGTCCACGTCCACGTCCAAGTCCACGACCTCGTCCACGTCCATGTCCACGTCCACGTCTATGTCCACGTTCACGTCCATGTCCACGACCATGTCCACGTCCACGTCCACGTCCATGTCCATGTCCACGTCCACGTCCACGTTCACGTCCACGTCCATGTCCACGTCCACGTCCACGTCCAAGTCCACATCCACGTCCACGTCCATGTCCACGTCCACGTCCACGTCCACATCCACGACCAGGTCTTCGTCCACGTCCACGTCCACGTCCACGTCCATGTCCACGTCCACGTCCATGTCCACGTCGACGTCCACGTCCACGTCCATGTTCCTCCACGTCCACGTCCACGTCCACGACCATGTCCACGTCCACGTCCACGTCCAAGTCTACGTCCATGTCTACGTCCACGTCCACGTCCACGTCCACGACCATGTCTTCGTCCACGTCCACGTCCATGTCCACGTCCATGTCCACGTCCACGTCCACATCCATGTCCACGTCCACGCCACGTCCACGTCCATGTCCATGTCCACGTCCACGTCCACGTCCACGTCCACGTCCATGTCCACGTCCACGTCCATGTCCACGTCCAGGACCATGTCCACGTCCACGTCCACGTCCACGTCCATGTCCACGTCCACATCCACGTCCACGTCCATGTCCACGTCCACGTCCACCTTCATGTCCACGTCCACGTCCACGTCCAAGTCCACGACCACGTCCACGTCCACGTCCACGTCTACGTCCACGTCCACGTCTACGTCCACGTCCATGTCCACGTCTACGTCCACGTCCACGTCTACGTCCATGTCTACGTCCACGTCCACGTCTATGTCCACGTCTATGTTCACGTCCATGTCCACGTCCAAGTCGTCCACGTCCACGTCCACATCCACGTCCACATCCACGTCCAAGTCCTCCACGTCCACGTCCACGTCGACGTCCACGTCCACTTCCACGTCCACGTCCACGTCCATGTCTACGTCCACGTCCACGTCCATGTCCATGTCCACGTCCACGTCCACGTCCACGTCTACGTCCACGTCCACGTCCACGTCCACGTCCACGTCCACGTCCATGTCCACGTCCACATCCATGTCCGCGTCCACGTCCACGTCCACGTCCACATCCACGTCCACGTCCACGTCCATGTCCATGTCCACATCCATGTCCGCGTCCACGTCAACGTCCGCGTCCACGTCCACGTCCACGTCCACGTCCATGTCCACCTCCACGTCCACGTCCACGTCCACGTCCAGGTCCACGTCCACGTCCACGTCCACGACCACGTCCACGTTCACGTCCACGTTCACGTCCACGACCACGTCCACGTCCACGTCCATGTCCATGCTCATGTCCATGTCCACGACCATGTCCACGTCCACGTCCACGTCCACGTCCATGTCCACGTCCACGTCCACGTCCACGTCCATGTCCACGTCCACGTCCACGTCCACGTCCACGTCCACGTCCACGTCCATGTCCACGTCCACGTCCACGTCCACGTCCACTCCACGTCTACCTCCACGTCCATGTCCACGTCCACGTCCACGTCGACGTCCACATCCACGTCCACGTCCACGTCCAGGTCCACGTCCACGTCCACGTTCACGTCCATGTCCACGTCCAAGTCTACGTCCACGTCCACCTCCACGTCCACCTCCACGTCCACGTCCACGTCCACGTCCACCTCCACGTCCACGTCCACGTCCACCTCCACGTCCACGTCCACGTCCACGTCCACGTCCACGTCCACGTCCACGTCCAGGTCCACGTCCAGGTCCACGACCAGGTCCACGTCCAGGTCCACTCCACGTCCACGTCCACGTCCACGTCCACGTCCACGTCCACGTCCACGTCAACGTCCATGTCCACGTCCACGTCCACGTCACGTCCACGTCCAGGTCCACGTCCACGTCCACGTCCACGTCCACGTCCACGTCAACGTCCACGTCAACGTCCACGTCCACGTCCACGTCCACGTCCATGTCCACGTCCACGTCCACGTCCACGTCCACGTCCACGTCCACGTCCACTCCACGTCCACGTCCACGTCCCAGTCCACGTCCACGTCCACGTCCACGTCCATGTCGATGTCCACGTCCACGTCCACGTCCACGTCCACGTCCACGTCTACGTCCACGTCCACGTCCACGTCCACGTCCAGGTCCACGTCCACGTCCACGTCACGTCCACGTCTACGTCCACGTCCACGTCCACGTCCTTGTCCACGTCCACGACCACGTCCAGGTCCACGTCCACGTCCACGTCCACGTCCACGTCCATGTCCACCTCCACGTCCACGTCCACGTCAATGTCCACGTCCACGTCCAGTCCACGTCCAGTCCACGTCCACGTCCACGTCCACCTCCACGTCCACCTCCACGTCCACGTCCACGTCCACCTCGACGTCCACGTCGACGTCCACGTCCACGTCCACCTCCACGTCCACGTCCACGTCCACGTCCACGTCCACGTCCACGTCCACATCCACGTCCACGTCCAGGTCCACGTCCAGGTCCACGACCAGGTCCACGTCCAGGTCCACTCCACGTCCACGTCCACGTCCACGTCCACGTCACGTCCACGTCCACGTCCACGTCCACGTCCACGTCCACGTCCACGTCAACGTCCACGTCAACGTCCACGTCCACGTCCACGTCCACGTCCACGTCCAGGTCCACGTCCACGTCCACGTCCATGTCCACGTCCACGTCCACGTCCACTCCACGTCCACGTCCACGTCCCAGTCCACGTCCACGTCCACGTCCACGTCCATGTCCACGTCCACGTCCACGTCCACGTCCACGTCTACGTCCACGTCCACGTCCACGTCCACGTCCAGGTCCACGTCCACGTCCACGTCACGTCCACGTCTACGTCCACGTCCACGTCCACGTCCATGTCCACGTCCACGACCACGTCCACGTCCACGTCCACGTCCACGTCCACGTCCATGTCCACGTCCACGTCCACGTCCACGTCCACGTCAATGTCCACGTCCACGTCCAGTCCACGTCCACGTCCACGTCCACGTCCAGGTCCACGTCCACGTCCACGTCCACGTCCACGTCCACTCCACGTCCACGTCCCAGTCCACGTCCACGTCCGCGTCCACGTCCATGTCCACGTCCACTCCACTCCACGTCCACGTCCCAGTCCACGTCCACGTCCACGTCCACGTCCATGTCCACGTCTATGTCCACGTCCACGTCTACGTCGAGGTCCACGTCCACGTCCACGTCCACATCCACGTCCACGTCCACGTCCACGTCCACGTCACGTCCACGTCCACGTCCATGTCCACGTCCACGTCCACGTCCATGTCCACGTCCACGACCACGTCCACGTCCACGTCCACGTCCACGTCCACGTCCACGTCCACGTCCATGTCCACCTCCACGTCCACGTCCACGTCCACGTCGATGTCAACGTCCACGTCCACGTCCACGACCACGTCCACGTCCACGTCCACGTTCACGTCCACGACCACGTCCACGTCCACGTCCACGTCCAGGTCCACGTCCACGTCCACGTCCACCTCCATGTCCACGCCCACGTCCATGTCCACGTCCACGTCCACGTCCATGTCCACGTCCAAGTCCTCCACGTCCATGTCCACGTCCACGTTCACGTCCATGTCCACGTCCAAGTTCTCCACGTCCACGTCCACGTCCACTTCCACGTCCATGTCCACGTCCACGTCCATGTCCACGTCCAACTCCTCCACGTCCACGTCCACGTCCATGTCCACGTCCATGTCCACGTCAACGTCCACGTCCACGTCTACGTCCATGTCTACGTCCACGTCCACGTCTACGTTCACGTCCACGTCCACAACCACGTCCACGTCCACGTCCATGTCCACGTCCACGTCCACGTCCACGTCCACGTCCATGTCCACGTCCACGTCTACATCCACGTCCATGTCCACGTCCACGTCTACGTCCATGTCCACGTCCACGTCCACGTCCATGTCCACGTCCATGTCCACGTCCACGTCCACGTCCACGTCCATGTCCACGTCCATGTCCTCCTCCGCGTTTCCATCCGCTCTTCCCCTCTCCCCATCTCACTAGCTCCAGCCCATCCTTCCTCCCTCATTCCTTCCGAAGGGGTGGGACAGATAGGGAGGAACAGATGGGGAGAAACAGAGGTGGTCGCTACGCCACCACAATCGAACAGCGTTTTGATTCCCTCTCTGCTCCCCACCATCCTCCCCCCAGCTCTCTCCCCGGCATCTGCCCACGTTCCCCCCATCCTCTTCCCTGCTTCCCCGTATCCCTAGCCGTGCTTCCCCCTATCCTATCCCCTCTTACCCCGTATCCCCTGCCCTGCTTCCCCCCATCCCCTTCCCTGCTTCCCCCCATCCCCTTCCCTACTTCCCCCCATCCCCTTCCCACATCCATGTCCACGTCCATGTCCACGTCCACGTCCATGTCCACGTCCACGTCCACGTCCACGTCGACGTCCATATCCACGTCGTCCATATCCACGTCTACGTCCACGTCCACGTCCATGTCCACGTCCACGTCACGTCAACGTCCACGTCCATGTCCACGTCCACGTCCACATCCATGTCCACGTTCACGTCCATGTCCACGTCCACGACCATGTCCACGTCCACGTCCACGTCCATGTCCACGTCCACGTCCACGTCCACGTCCATGTCCACGTCCACGTCCACGTCCACGACCATGTCCACGTCCACGTCCACGTCCAAGTCCACGACCTCGTCCACGTCCATGTCCACGTCCACGTCTATGTCCACGTTCACGTCCATGTCCACGACCATGTCCACGTCCACGTCCACGTCCATGTCCATGTCCACGTCCACGTCCACGTTCACGTCCACGTCCATGTCCACGTCCACGTCCACGTCCAAGTCCACATCCACGTCCACGTCCATGTCCACGTCCACGTCCACGTCCACATCCACGACCAGGTCTTCGTCCACGTCCACGTCCACGTCCACGTCCATGTCCACGTCCACGTCCATGTCCACGTCGACGTCCACGTCCACGTCCATGTTCCTCCACGTCCACGTCCACGTCCACGACCATGTCCACGTCCACGTCCACGTCCAAGTCTACGTCCATGTCTACGTCCACGTCCACGTCCACGTCCACGACCATGTCTTCGTCCACGTCCACGTCCATGTCCACGTCCATGTCCACGTCCACGTCCACATCCATGTCCACGTCCACGCCACGTCCACGTCCATGTCCATGTCCACGTCCACGTCCACGTCCACGTCCACGTCCATGTCCACGTCCACGTCCATGTCCACGTCCAGGACCATGTCCACGTCCACGTCCACGTCCACGTCCATGTCCACGTCCACATCCACGTCCACGTCCATGTCCACGTCCACGTCCACCTTCATGTCCACGTCCACGTCCACGTCCAAGTCCACGACCACGTCCACGTCCACGTCCACGTCTACGTCCACGTCCACGTCTACGTCCACGTCCATGTCCACGTCTACGTCCACGTCCACGTCTACGTCCATGTCTACGTCCACGTCCACGTCTATGTCCACGTCTATGTTCACGTCCATGTCCACGTCCAAGTCGTCCACGTCCACGTCCACATCCACGTCCACATCCACGTCCAAGTCCTCCACGTCCACGTCCACGTCGACGTCCACGTCCACTTCCACGTCCACGTCCACGTCCATGTCTACGTCCACGTCCACGTCCATGTCCATGTCCACGTCCACGTCCACGTCCACGTCTACGTCCACGTCCACGTCCACGTCCACGTCCACGTCCACGTCCATGTCCACGTCCACATCCATGTCCGCGTCCACGTCCACGTCCACGTCCACATCCACGTCCACGTCCACGTCCATGTCCATGTCCACATCCATGTCCGCGTCCACGTCAACGTCCGCGTCCACGTCCACGTCCACGTCCACGTCCATGTCCACCTCCACGTCCACGTCCACGTCCACGTCCAGGTCCACGTCCACGTCCACGTCCACGACCACGTCCACGTTCACGTCCACGTTCACGTCCACGACCACGTCCACGTCCACGTCCATGTCCATGCTCATGTCCATGTCCACGACCATGTCCACGTCCACGTCCACGTCCACGTCCATGTCCACGTCCATGTCCACGTCACGTCCACGTCCACGTCCATGTCCACGTCCACGTCCACGTCCACGTCCACGTCCACGTCCACGTCCATGTCCACGTCCACGTCCACGTCCACGTCCACTCCACGTCTACCTCCACGTCCATGTCCACGTCCACGTCCACGTCGACGTCCACATCCACGTCCACGTCCACGTCCAGGTCCACGTCCACGTCCACGTTCACGTCCATGTCCACGTCCAAGTCTACGTCCACGTCCACCTCCACGTCCACCTCCACGTCCACGTCCACGTCCACGTCCACCTCCACGTCCACGTCCACGTCCACCTCCACGTCCACGTCCACGTCCACGTCCACGTCCACGTCCACGTCCACGTCCAGGTCCACGTCCAGGTCCACGACCAGGTCCACGTCCAGGTCCACTCCACGTCCACGTCCACGTCCACGTCCACGTCCACGTCCACGTCCACGTCAACGTCCATGTCCACGTCCACGTCCACGTCACGTCCACGTCCAGGTCCACGTCCACGTCCACGTCCACGTCCACGTCCACGTCAACGTCCACGTCAACGTCCACGTCCACGTCCACGTCCACGTCCATGTCCACGTCCACGTCCACGTCCACGTCCACGTCCACGTCCACGTCCACTCCACGTCCACGTCCACGTCCCAGTCCACGTCCACGTCCACGTCCACGTCCATGTCGATGTCCACGTCCACGTCCACGTCCACGTCCACGTCCACGTCTACGTCCACGTCCACGTCCACGTCCACGTCCAGGTCCACGTCCACGTCCACGTCACGTCCACGTCTACGTCCACGTCCACGTCCACGTCCTTGTCCACGTCCACGACCACGTCCAGGTCCACGTCCACGTCCACGTCCACGTCCACGTCCATGTCCACCTCCACGTCCACGTCCACGTCAATGTCCACGTCCACGTCCAGTCCACGTCCAGTCCACGTCCACGTCCACGTCCACCTCCACGTCCACCTCCACGTCCACGTCCACGTCCACCTCGACGTCCACGTCGACGTCCACGTCCACGTCCACCTCCACGTCCACGTCCACGTCCACGTCCACGTCCACGTCCACGTCCACATCCACGTCCACGTCCAGGTCCACGTCCAGGTCCACGACCAGGTCCACGTCCAGGTCCACTCCACGTCCACGTCCACGTCCACGTCCACGTCACGTCCACGTCCACGTCCACGTCCACGTCCACGTCCACGTCCACGTCAACGTCCACGTCAACGTCCACGTCCACGTCCACGTCCACGTCCACGTCCAGGTCCACGTCCACGTCCACGTCCATGTCCACGTCCACGTCCACGTCCACTCCACGTCCACGTCCACGTCCCAGTCCACGTCCACGTCCACGTCCACGTCCATGTCCACGTCCACGTCCACGTCCACGTCCACGTCTACGTCCACGTCCACGTCCACGTCCACGTCCAGGTCCACGTCCACGTCCACGTCACGTCCACGTCTACGTCCACGTCCACGTCCACGTCCATGTCCACGTCCACGACCACGTCCACGTCCACGTCCACGTCCACGTCCACGTCCATGTCCACGTCCACGTCCACGTCCACGTCCACGTCAATGTCCACGTCCACGTCCAGTCCACGTCCACGTCCACGTCCACGTCCAGGTCCACGTCCACGTCCACGTCCACGTCCACGTCCACTCCACGTCCACGTCCCAGTCCACGTCCACGTCCGCGTCCACGTCCATGTCCACGTCCACTCCACTCCACGTCCACGTCCCAGTCCACGTCCACGTCCACGTCCACGTCCATGTCCACGTCTATGTCCACGTCCACGTCTACGTCGAGGTCCACGTCCACGTCCACGTCCACATCCACGTCCACGTCCACGTCCACGTCCACGTCACGTCCACGTCCACGTCCATGTCCACGTCCACGTCCACGTCCATGTCCACGTCCACGACCACGTCCACGTCCACGTCCACGTCCACGTCCACGTCCACGTCCACGTCCATGTCCACCTCCACGTCCACGTCCACGTCCACGTCGATGTCAACGTCCACGTCCACGTCCACGACCACGTCCACGTCCACGTCCACGTTCACGTCCACGACCACGTCCACGTCCACGTCCACGTCCAGGTCCACGTCCACGTCCACGTCCACCTCCATGTCCACGCCCACGTCCATGTCCACGTCCACGTCCACGTCCATGTCCACGTCCAAGTCCTCCACGTCCATGTCCACGTCCACGTTCACGTCCATGTCCACGTCCAAGTTCTCCACGTCCACGTCCACGTCCACTTCCACGTCCATGTCCACGTCCACGTCCATGTCCACGTCCAACTCCTCCACGTCCACGTCCACGTCCATGTCCACGTCCATGTCCACGTCAACGTCCACGTCCACGTCTACGTCCATGTCTACGTCCACGTCCACGTCTACGTTCACGTCCACGTCCACAACCACGTCCACGTCCACGTCCATGTCCACGTCCACGTCCACGTCCACGTCCACGTCCATGTCCACGTCCACGTCTACATCCACGTCCATGTCCACGTCCACGTCTACGTCCATGTCCACGTCCACGTCCACGTCCATGTCCACGTCCATGTCCACGTCCACGTCCACGTCCACGTCCATGTCCACGTCCATGTCCTCCTCCGCGTTTCCATCCGCTCTTCCCCTCTCCCCATCTCACTAGCTCCAGCCCATCCTTCCTCCCTCATTCCTTCCGAAGGGGTGGGACAGATAGGGAGGAACAGATGGGGAGAAACAGAGGTGGTCGCTACGCCACCACAATCGAACAGCGTTTTGATTCCCTCTCTGCTCCCCACCATCCTCCCCCCAGCTCTCTCCCCGGCATCTGCCCACGTTCCCCCCATCCTCTTCCCTGCTTCCCCGTATCCCTAGCCGTGCTTCCCCCTATCCTATCCCCTCTTACCCCGTATCCCCTGCCCTGCTTCCCCCCATCCCCTTCCCTGCTTCCCCCCATCCCCTTCCCTACTTCCCCCCATCCCCTTCCCACATCCATGTCCACGTCCATGTCCACGTCCACGTCCATGTCCACGTCCACGTCCACGTCCACGTCGACGTCCATATCCACGTCGTCCATATCCACGTCTACGTCCACGTCCACGTCCATGTCCACGTCCACGTCACGTCAACGTCCACGTCCATGTCCACGTCCACGTCCACATCCATGTCCACGTTCACGTCCATGTCCACGTCCACGACCATGTCCACGTCCACGTCCACGTCCATGTCCACGTCCACGTCCACGTCCACGTCCATGTCCACGTCCACGTCCACGTCCACGACCATGTCCACGTCCACGTCCACGTCCAAGTCCACGACCTCGTCCACGTCCATGTCCACGTCCACGTCTATGTCCACGTTCACGTCCATGTCCACGACCATGTCCACGTCCACGTCCACGTCCATGTCCATGTCCACGTCCACGTCCACGTTCACGTCCACGTCCATGTCCACGTCCACGTCCACGTCCAAGTCCACATCCACGTCCACGTCCATGTCCACGTCCACGTCCACGTCCACATCCACGACCAGGTCTTCGTCCACGTCCACGTCCACGTCCACGTCCATGTCCACGTCCACGTCCATGTCCACGTCGACGTCCACGTCCACGTCCATGTTCCTCCACGTCCACGTCCACGTCCACGACCATGTCCACGTCCACGTCCACGTCCAAGTCTACGTCCATGTCTACGTCCACGTCCACGTCCACGTCCACGACCATGTCTTCGTCCACGTCCACGTCCATGTCCACGTCCATGTCCACGTCCACGTCCACATCCATGTCCACGTCCACGCCACGTCCACGTCCATGTCCATGTCCACGTCCACGTCCACGTCCACGTCCACGTCCATGTCCACGTCCACGTCCATGTCCACGTCCAGGACCATGTCCACGTCCACGTCCACGTCCACGTCCATGTCCACGTCCACATCCACGTCCACGTCCATGTCCACGTCCACGTCCACCTTCATGTCCACGTCCACGTCCACGTCCAAGTCCACGACCACGTCCACGTCCACGTCCACGTCTACGTCCACGTCCACGTCTACGTCCACGTCCATGTCCACGTCTACGTCCACGTCCACGTCTACGTCCATGTCTACGTCCACGTCCACGTCTATGTCCACGTCTATGTTCACGTCCATGTCCACGTCCAAGTCGTCCACGTCCACGTCCACATCCACGTCCACATCCACGTCCAAGTCCTCCACGTCCACGTCCACGTCGACGTCCACGTCCACTTCCACGTCCACGTCCACGTCCATGTCTACGTCCACGTCCACGTCCATGTCCATGTCCACGTCCACGTCCACGTCCACGTCTACGTCCACGTCCACGTCCACGTCCACGTCCACGTCCACGTCCATGTCCACGTCCACATCCATGTCCGCGTCCACGTCCACGTCCACGTCCACATCCACGTCCACGTCCACGTCCATGTCCATGTCCACATCCATGTCCGCGTCCACGTCAACGTCCGCGTCCACGTCCACGTCCACGTCCACGTCCATGTCCACCTCCACGTCCACGTCCACGTCCACGTCCAGGTCCACGTCCACGTCCACGTCCACGACCACGTCCACGTTCACGTCCACGTTCACGTCCACGACCACGTCCACGTCCACGTCCATGTCCATGCTCATGTCCATGTCCACGACCATGTCCACGTCCACGTCCACGTCCACGTCCATGTCCACGTCCACGTCCACGTCCACCTCCATGTCCACGCCCACGTCCATGTCCACGTCCACGTCCACGTCCATGTCCACGTCCAAGTCCTCCACGTCCATGTCCACGTCCACGTTCACGTCCATGTCCACGTCCAAGTTCTCCACGTCCACGTCCACGTCCACTTCCACGTCCATGTCCACGTCCACGTCCATGTCCACGTCCAATTCCTCCACGTCCACGTCCACGTCCACGTCCATGTCCACGTCAACGTCCACGTCCACGTCTACGTCCATGTCTACGTCCACGTCCACGTCCACGTCTACGTTCACGTCCACGTCCACAACCACGTCCACGTCCACGTCCATGTCCACGTCCACGTCCACGTCCACGTCCACGTCCACGTCCATGTCCACGTCCACGTCTACATCCACGTCCATGTCCACGTCCACGTCTACGTCCATGTCCACGTCCACGTCCACGTCCATGTCCACGTCCATGTCCACGTCCACGTCCACGTCCACGTCCATGTCCACGTCCATGTCCTCCTCCGCGTTTCCATCCGCTCTTTCCCTCTCCCCATCTCACTAGCTCCAGCCCATCCTTCCTCCCTCATTCCTTCCGAAGGGGTGGGACAGATGGGGAGGAACAGATGGGGAGAAACAGAGGTGGTCGCTACGCCACCACAATCGAACAGCGTTTTGATTCCCTCTCTGCTCCCCACCATCCTCCCCCCAGCTCTCTCCCCGGCATCTGCCCACGTTCCCCCCATCCTCTTCCCTGCTTCCCCGTATCCCTAGCCGTGCTTCCCCCTATCCTATCCCCTCTTACCCCGTATCCCCTGCCCTGCTTCCCCCCATCCCCTTCCCTGCTTCCCCCCATCCCCTTCCCTACTTCCCCCCATCCCCTTCCCACATCCACGTCCACGTCCATGTCCACGTCCACGTCCATGTCCACGTCCACGTCCACGTCGACGTCCACGTCCACGTCACGTCCACGTCCATGTCCATGTCTACGACCATGTCCACGTCCACGTCCACGTCCACGTCGTCCATATCCATGTCTACGTCCACGTCCACGTCCATGTCCACGTCCACGTCACGTCCATGTCCACGTCCATGTCCACGTCCACGTCCACGTCCACGTCCATGTCCACGTCCACGTCCATGTCCACGTCCACGACCATGTCCACGTCCACGTCCACGTCCACGTCCATGTCCACGTCCACGTCCACGTCCACGTCCATGTCCACGTCCACGTCCACGTCCACGACCATGTCCACGTCCACGTCCACGTCCAAGTCCACGACCTCGTACACGTCCATGTCCACGTCCAGGTCTATGTCCACGTTCACGTCCATGTCCACGACCATGTCCACGTCCACGTCCACGTCCATGTCCATGTCCACGTCCACGTCCACGTTCACGTCCACGTCCATGTCCACGTCCACGTCCACGTCCACGTTCACGTCCACGTCCATGTCCATGTTCATGTCCATGTCCACGACCACGTCCACGTCCACGTCACGTCCACGTCCACGTCCACGTCAGGTCCACGTCCACGTCCATGTCAGGTCCACGTCACGTCCACGTCCACGTCCACGTCCACGTCACGTCCACGTCCATGTCCATGTCCACGTCCACGTCCATGTCCACGTCCACGTCCACGTCCCGTCCCCGTCCATGTCCAGGTACACGTCCACGTCCACGTCACGTCCACGTCCATGTCCATGTCCACGTCCACGTCCATGTCCACGTCCACGTCCACGTCCCGTCCCCGTCCATGTCCACGTCCACGTCCACGTCAGGTCCACGTCCACGTCCATGTCAGGTCCACGTCACGTCCACGTCCACGTCCACGTCCACGTCCACGTCCACGTCACGTCCACCTCCACGTCTATGTCCACGTCCACGTCCACGTCCACGTCCATGTCCACGTCCTTGTCCACGTCCACGTCTACGTTCACGTCCACGTCCACGTCCATCGCCACGTCCACGTCCACGACCATGTCCACGTCCACGTCCACGTCCACGTCCACGTCCACGACCACGTCCACGTCCACGTCCACGTCCATGTCCACGTCCACGTCCACGTCCACGTCCACGTCCACGTCCACGTCCACCTCCACGTCCACCTCCATGTCCACGTCCACGTCTACGTCCACGTCCACGTCCACCTCCACGTCCACGTCCACGTCCACGTCCACCTCCACGTCCACGTCCACGTCCACGTCCACGTCCACGTCGACGTCCACGTCCATGTCCACCTCCACGTCCACGTCCACGTCCACGTCCACCTCACTGTCCACGTCCACATCCACGTCCGTGTCCACGTCGACGTCCACGTCCACGTCCATGTCCACGTCCACGTCCATGTCCACGTCCACGTCCACGTCCATGTCCACGTCCACGTCCATATCCACGTCCACGTCCACGTCCATGTCCACGTCCAAGTCCTCCACGTCCACGTCCGCGTCCACGTTCACGTCCATGTCCACGTCCAAGTTCTCCACGTCCACGTCCCGTCCATGTCCCCGTCCACGTCCACGTCCGCGTCCACGACCACGTCCACGTCCACGTCCGCGTCCACGTCCACGTCTACGTCCATGTCCACGTCCATGTCAGCGTCCAGGTCCACGTCCACGTCCACGTCCACGTCCAGGTCCGCGTCCACGTCCGCGTCCACGTCCACGTCCACGTCCCCGTCCATGTCCATGTCCACGTCCACGTCCACGTCCACGTCTACGACCACGTCCACGTCCACGTCCACGTCCATGTCCACGTCCACGTCCAGGTCCACGTCTACGTCCATGTTCACGTCCATGTCCACATCCACATCTATGTCCACGTCCACGTCCATGTCCACGTCCATGTCCATGTCCATGTCCACGTCCACGTCCACGACCACGTCCATGTCATTTGCACTCGAAGTTCCCATACTGACCGACCTGGCCAATGCACCATTTTCCATATACATATGCATTAGATTCCTTTCAAACCTTTTTAGCTCACTAGATTTATATATTTCCCACCTTTTGATCGAGTGAGACCGCTAGATTCCCTTTACTTTTTGAGAAATAAGCGTTTCCGTTCTCCTTGGCCCTAGTTGCACTATCAGTGCGAAATGCCGGCAAGACTGGCCGACGCACAATTTTCTCTACACATGTGAGTTAGTTACCTTTCAAACCCTTATGTTCACTAGATGAATATATTTCCTACTTTCTATTTGGGTGAGACCACTTGATTCCGTGTACTATGCGAGATCTGAGCTCTTCTGTTCTCCCTGGCATTTGCATTTTAAGTTCCAATACTGACCGACCTGGCCAATGCACCATTTTCTCTATACATGTGGGTTGAATACATTTCAAACCTTTTTAGATTTATATATTTCCCACCTTCTGATCGAGTGAGACCGTTAGATTCCCTCTACTTTTTGAGAAACGAGCGTTTCCGTTCTCCCTGGGTCCACCTGCACTATGAGTGCGAAATGCCGGCCAGACTGGCCGATGCACCATTTTCTCTACACATGTGCGTTAGTTACCTTTCAAACCCTTACGTTCACTAGATGAATATATTTCCTACCTTATATTTGAGGGAGACCACTAGATTCCGTGTATTATGCGAGATCTGAGCAGTTCCGTTCTCCCAGGCATTTGCACTCTAAGTTCCCATACTGACCGACCTGGCCAATGCACCACTTTCCATATACATATGCATTAGATTCCTTCCGAACCTTATTAGCTCACTAGATTTATATATTTCCCACCTTCTGATTGAGTGAGACTGCTAGATTCCCTTTACTTTTTGAGAAATGAGCGTTTCCGTTCTCCTTGGCCCTAGTTGCACTATAAGTGCGAAATGCCGGCCAGACTGGCCGATGCACAATTTTCTCTACACATGTGCGTTAGTTACCTTTCAAACCCTTACGTTCACTAGATGAATATATTTCCTACTTTCTATTTGAGTGAGACCACTTGATTCCGTGTACTATGCGAGATCTGAGCGCTTCCGTTCTCCCTGGCATTTGCACTCTAAGTTCCTATACTGACCGACCTGGCCAATGCACCACTTTCCATATACATATGCATTTTAAGTTCCGATACTGACCGACCTGGCAAATGCACCATTTTCTCTATACATGTGCGTTGAATACATTTCAAACCTTTTTAGATTTATATATTTCCCACCTTCTGATCGAGTGAGACCGTTAGATTCCCTCTACTTTTTGAGAAACGAGCGTTTCCGTTCTACCTGGCCCCACCTGCACTATGAGTGCGAAATGCCGGCCAGACTGGCCGATGCACCATTTTCTCTACACATGTGCATTAGTTACCTTTCAAACCCTTACGTTCACTAGATGAATATATTTCCTACCTTATATTTGAGTGAGACCACTAGATTCCGTGTATTATGCGAGATCTGAGCGGTTCCGTTCTCCCAGGCATTTGCACTCTAAGTTCCCATACTGACCGACCTGGCCAATGCACCACTTTCCATATACATATGCATTAGATTCCTTTTCAACCTTATAAGCTCACTAGATTTATATATTTCCCACCTTTTGATCGAGTGAGACTGCTAGATTCCCTTTACTTTTTGAAAAATGAGCGTTTCCATTCTCCTTGGCCCTACTTGCACTATAAGTGCGAAATGCCGGCCAGACTGGCCGATGCACCATTTTCTCTACACATGTGCGTTAGTTACCTTTCAAACCCTTACGTTCACTAGATGAATTTATTTCCTACCTTATATTTGAGTGAGACCACTACATTCCGTGTATTATGTGAGATCTGAGCGGTTCAGTCTCCAAAGCATTTGCACTCTAAGTTCCCATACTGACCGACCTGGCCAATGTACCACTTTCTATATACATATGCATTAGATTCCTTTCTAACCTTATTAGCTCACTAGATTTATATATTTCCCACCTTCTGATCGAGTGAGACCGCTAGATTCCCTTTACTTTTTGAGAAATGAGCGTTTCCATTCTCCTTGGCCCTACCTGCACGATAAGTGCGAAATGCCGGCCAGACTGGCCGATGCACCATTTTCTCTACACATGTGCGTTAGTTACCTTTCAAACCCTTACGTTCACTAGATGAATTTATTTCCTACCTTCTGTTTGAGTGAGACCACTAGATTCCGTGTACTATGCGAGATCTGAGCGCTTCCGTTCTCCCTAACATCTGCATTTTAAGTTCCCATACTGACCGACCTGGCCAATGCACCATTTTCCATATACATATGCATTAGATTCCTTTCGAACCTTATTAGCTCACTAGATTTATATATTTCCCACCTTCTGATCGAGTGAGACCGCTAGATTCCCTTTACTTTTTTGAGAAATGAGCGTTTCCGTTCTCCTTGACCCTACTTGCACTATAAGTGCGAAATGCCGGCCAGACTGGCCGATGCACCATTTTCTCCACACATGTGCGTTAGTTACCTTTCAATCCCTTACGTTCACTAGATGAATTCATTTCCTACCTTCTATTTGAGTGAGACCACTAGATTCCGTGTACTATGCGAGATCTGAGCGGTTCCGTTCTCCCAGGCATTTGCACTCTAAGTTGCCATACTGACCGACCTGGCCAATGCACCAGTTTCCATAAACATATGCATTAGATTCCTTGTGAACCTTATAAGCTGACTAGATTTATATATTTCCCACCTTCTGATCGAGTGAGACTGCTAGATTCCCTTTACTTTTTGAGAAATGAGCGTTTCCGTTCTCCTTGGCCCTACTTGCACTATAAGTGCGAAATGCCGGCCAGACTGGCCGACGCACCATTTTCTCTACACATGTGCGTTAGTTACCTTTCAAACCCTTACGTTCACTAGATGAATTTATTTCCTACCTTCTATTTGAGTGAGACCACTAGATTCCGTGTACTATGCGAGATCTGAGGGCTTCCGTTCTCCCTGGCATTTGCACTCTAAGTTCCCATACTGACCGACCTGGCCAATGCACCATTTTCCATATACATATGCATTAGATTCCTTTCAAACCTTATTAGCTCACTAGATTTATATATTTCCCACCTTATGATCGAGTGAGACCGCTAGATTCCCTTTACTTTTTGAGAAATGAGTGTTTCTGTTCTCCTTGGCCCTACTTGCTGTATAAGTGCGAAATGCCGGCCAGACTGGCCGATGCACCATTTTCTCTACACATGTGCGTTAGTTACCTTTCAAACCCTTATGTCACTAGATGAATTTATTTCCTACCTTCTATTTGAGTGAGACCACTAGATTCCGTGTACTATGCGAGATCTGAGCACTTCCGTTCTCCCTGGCATTTGCACTCTAAGTTCCCATACTGACCGACCTGGCCAATGCACCATTTTCCATATACATATGCATTAGATTCCTTTGGAACCTTATTAGCTCACTAGATTTATATATTTCCCACCTTCTGATCGAGTGAGACCGCTAGATTCCCTTTACTTTTTGAGAAATGAGCGTTTCCGTTCTCCTTGGCCCTACTTGCACTATAAGTGCGAAATGCCGGCCAGACTGGCCGATGCACCATTTTCTCTACACATGTGCGTTAGTTACCTTTCAAACCCTTACGTTCACTAGATGAATTTATTTCCTACCTTCTATTTGAGTGAGACCACTAGATTCCGTGTACTATGCGAGATCTGAGCGCTTCCTTTCTCCCTAGCATTTGTACTCTAAGTTCCCATACTGACCGACCTGGCCAATGCACCATTTTCCATATACATATGCATTAGATTCCATTCAAACCTTATTAACTCACTAGATTTATATATTTCCCACCTTCTGATCGAGTGAGACCGCTAGATTCCCTCTACTTTTTGAGAAATGAGCGTTTCGGTTCTCCTTGGCCCTAGTTGCACTATAAGTGCGAAATGCCGGCCAGACTGGCCGATGCACAATTTTCTCTACACATGTGCGTTAGTTCCCTTTCAAACCCTAACGTTCACTAGATGAATATAATTCCTACTTTCTATTTGAGTGAGACCACTTGATTCCGTGTACTATGCGAGATCTGAGCGCTTCCATTCTCCCTGGCATTTGCATCTTAAGTTCCGATACTGACCGACCTGGCCAATGCACCATTTTTTCTATACATGTGCGTTGAATACATTTCAAACCTTTTTATCTGACTAGATGTATATATTTCCCACCTTCTGATTGAGTGAGACCGTTAGATTCCCTCTACTTTTTGAGAAACGAGCGTTTCCGTTCTCTCTGGCCCCACCTGCACTATAAGTGCGAAATGCCGGCCAGACTGACCGATGCACCATTTTCTCTACACATGTGCGTTAGTTACCTTTCAAACCATTACGTTCACTAGATGAATATATTTCCTACCTTATATTTGAGTGAGACCACTAGATTCCGTGTATTATGCGAGATCTGAGCAGTTCCGTTCTCCCAGGCATTTGCACTCTAAGTTCCCATACTGACCGACCTGCCCAATGCACCACTTTCTATATACATATGCATTAGATTCCTTCTGAACCTTATAAGCTCACTAGATTTATATAGTTCCCACCTTCTGATTGAGTGAGACTGCTAGATTCCCTTTACTTTTTGAGAAATGAGCGTTTCCGTTCTCCTTGGCCCTACTTGCACTATAAGTGCGAAATGCCGGCCAGACTGGCCGATGCACCATTTTCTCTACACATGTGCGTTAGATACCTTTCAAACCCTTACGTTCACTAGATGAATTTATTTCCTACCTTCTATTTGAGTGAGACCACTAGATTCCGTGTACGATGCGAGATCGGAGCGCTTTCGTTCTCCCTAGCATTTGCATTTGAAGTTCCGATACTGACCGACCTGGCCAATGCACCATTTTCTCTATACATGTGCGTTGAATACATTTCAAACCTTTTAAGCTGACTAGATTTATATGTTTCCCACCTTCTGATCGAGTGAGACCGTTAGATTCCCTCTACTTTTTGA